GGGAACCTAACTTGATGCGGATATCTAGACACACCTTTGCTGACTGGTCAGTTTGTGAATATGATGACTGTGCAGCTATTTTGCTCATGCTGCGAGAAGGACCCTCGGTCGTTTCAAGCCGTACCGGCTCCTGACACTCTCTAAACGAATAAATCACCTAAATCAAATTTTTATCGTAAACTGCATTTTATAAGCTTTCTTTTGATGTATAGCTTGTTAGAGTTTCTTGAAGATGGCGCGCGTACGAATTTTTTTCCGGAAGAACACCCGCGAAGGTAGGAAGTAACCTTGATCAGCCGTCAGCTTATTACACGCGCTCATATGTGCCTCTTTCTCGCATTACACTCAGGCGTGATCTCAGCTTCCAACGCCGTTAAGAAAACACAAGCAATCCAGAACTTAAACGCCAAGCGTAGTGGAAGTGGGAGTTGTTGGTGGAACCGGTTAGAGGACCGGTTGTAAGAACAAGGCTGTGGTTTCAAGTTTATCAAGTTTGAAGTTTAGTAGGTCTTCCAAAACAATTACTTACAATGAACACCGCCTGCAAATAGCGAGCTAATCAAGGCGGGCGATGTTAAGGACAAACAAACACGAATTACTAATTGAAGGCGTTAAAAAAAAGTCGATTTTGAATACAGTATTTGTCAAAAGAGGAAAAAAAGTGATAAAAAGTGAAGAAAAATATAATTTATGACTGAATTGTAATTAAGATGCCTTTTTTTGTTTCAGAAATAAGAGTGTTAGTGTCAGCATAACTGTCCAGAGTTTCTAGAGTTTCAAATAGTAATGCTTGAATTTTCTTTTTGAACATATGCTTTGGTAGTTTCGATAGCTTTCGGGAATGCTGTTCCAAATTTTAGCACCAACAATGGAAAAAGAGATTTTATGATGATTGAGCCTAGAATGAATAATATAGTAGTTACCAGAATATGGTGAGCGAGTATTATACTGATGTATGTCTTGTGTAGAAGTAAATAGATTACAGATATTTTGAGGTGGAGAGTTAGCGGTTATATCAAACATTTAGATTGATGATAGTTTGAAGTAGAGCATTGAGATTGGCAGAATCGAATGTTAGATTGGGCGAAATATGGAATATGTGGTACGTTTAAAAGAAGGTAGTTGTGATCCAAGACTCCTGGTATTCTTCTCTCAGCGAGTTTACACATGCTATCTTCCCACAAACGTCCGAACACTTTGATACAACTTCAGACTCCCGTTAGGTTAGGTCGTGTACTTTTTACGCCTTCTTACGAAAGTGTGTTCATCGGTCGTATCACCACAATGTTGGCTACACATATTGCAATTACTACTTGCCCAGTGGCTCGTTTCTACGTCTTCAATACACATTGTCTACAAGCTCGACTTGCAAGTTTCAATTCGATTTGGTTTCTTAAATAACTCTTTCATACAGGCCAGTGGAACGATTATTATATGTTGATATAAACGCAAAACAAATTGATAAAATCGGACGGTCCCCTCGCGTAGATTCAAGCATCTGATTTCTACGAAAGGGATAAAGCTTGGCTACAGAAACTATTACAATGAATAATAATTTTTAACGTCACTCAATTGTTATATATTTTCCCTTGGCTAGAGATTTAATGCCCCAAAGCTTGATTAAAAAAAGGGGGAAAATATCTTTTTTTTTTTTTTCAGAATTTTCATATTTTTGAGAGCAAGTCTCAACAGCAAGAAGAGTTTGTTTGTCAAAATTGGACTGGTGCCGAGGTAAAGTTCCTCTAACTCCACTGAGTTCAAACTTTGTCCGGTGCACTCAAGGATTTTCTTACACGAGGGCAAATTAATACAATTTAACGTTGTCGGGAATATTCCAAAAAAAAAATTGACCCATCAGCTAGTAATAATAATCGGTATTTATATAGCGCACATATCAGAAAAACTCTCATGGGGCTTTTCAATAAGTATGAGGAATTGATTAAAATCAATTTTAAAATGAACACAATAACTGTCGATAAATGTAGAAAATAAATATGTTTTTAGATTCTTTTTAAATAAAGGCAGCTCTCATCGTTAGCAGTGTTTTTCTTTGCTCTAATGTTTAATCAAACTTGTCACTAAAAATCATTATTCCTTCAGGAAATTTTTTTCTTATGCAAAGGCAAAAGCACAGCGCTGCAATCAGTCAATCACATAGAATCTTTCGCTGCGGATTTGTTGACATACTGCACGAGGACATCCTGTTCAGTGTAACGCTTATTAGAGAACTCTTTCTCAGAAATCACAGACTACGAGAGACTTATCGACGAAAGAGGAAGTGCTGCCGTCCAGGAAGTTGAAATGAAAAGATTTAGATAGAATTACCTAGAAAAACTTATTTATAGTGCATTAAATCTGCTGATGATCTTAACATGTCAAAGGAGAGGGTCCGCTAACCCCACTTTGTAAAACTCAGTCACGTAAAAGATATTTGGCCTTTTCACGCATCACGAATAATATCCAGAACTCTTTCCCGTTCACGCGAACTTCAAGAAAATCAAGTTGAATCACTATCTTACTTTTCTAGTCTTGACCAGTCTTACGGGACAAAAGATGATGTCATGTCTATTATCGATCCACACGAAGTCCCTCTCCAGTCAACACCTAACTGCAGTCATTCGAGAACAATATTTAAATTTCAAAAACAATAAAATAATCGGAAATTGATCACACAAAACAAAATCGTTCACGAATCACGTTTAATTCAGCTCTTAATTCATGGGTCACATTTAAAATAAATTCGTTTACGTGGACGTGAAAAGATCTTACCATCTTTATAATCGCGATTCACGGAAAAAGACAAGATAATACAAGGTATAAAAAGACCATAAATACAATATTGTTAGATAGAAAAAAACTCTAATGAAAAAAATCCTTGTGTTTTCATTACTCATCATTATTTAGGAATTCTTAAAGGAGCGTCGACAAAACTAGGGGTCCAAATTTTTTGGAGGGTATGGAACGAGGGCCCCAATCTAGGGAGGTCCAAATCCGTCAGGAAACCGGACCAAAGTTTTGCTGTTCTAAGTGGCTGAATTCTCAATATAAATTGAATGTCCAATTTTTTGTGAAAGCATTCCGGCGTTATTTAGGCCGAAAAATGCGATATTTTCACATTTTCTAATTATCGAGGTATGTAGTTGGAAGCTACATGGCAGACAATTCATGAATTAGGTATTACGAGTTGACACTGCGATGAGCATGCAAAGATTTTCATTTTCAACGTCTTTGAGGTCCATAGACTATGCGAAAATTTTTCATGCGCCTTAGCAGTAGAAAGAAAAAAATTTAAAGTTGAAATTTCCCAATGTAAAGTCTGTGTTCAAATTTCATCCCTAAGCATTTCTAGCAGACTATGATAACAGTTGGGTTTTTCGTGCATCAAGTCTTAAAAAGAAGAGAACTTTCCTTTTCTAAACTGACATTGTTGATCAAAGGGTTGGTAGTTTTGTACTTGATAGCAGCAAAGAATTTGGAACCGAAGACCCTAAATTTCATTTTACATTTTTGCTATACCCCATTGAAAAGTACTAAGAAAACTGTGTAAAAGTTACGCTGGCACTTTCCTCAAGTAAGCCAGCATCCTCTTTAGTTCCAGGGCTATTTCGACAATGTTGGATTTAAAACGTTCGACCTCTAACTCACTAAGGTCGTATGAGCATTCAAAATAACACAGTTTCAAAATTAGGCGTATTTTAAATACCCTTTTCAAATCATGTTGGGTATCGTTTGAAGAAGGTGTCATCGGAGATAATGATAAACTCTGGGAAACGGCAATATCCTCTTCGCCTGTATTCCAATATCGCGTGGTTTCCCCATCTTCATCGTTCAAAAGCAGTTCTTTGTTTTCGTTTACTATGGAAATAGATTTAAAGAGCCCTTGGCAATTTGCGTAACTGTGGAAATTATCAAAGTTCTGTAAAGATAAAGTTGATCTTGACTCTAGATCAAGACTTTGAAGTGAGGTGTGTAAATCTTGTGACACCGCACCGAACTCCCTTAGCCAAAGTTCCTTCCTGTAGGCGTCGTTAGGGAGTTTGAATCCTCGCCTTTTCACATTCCATTTAAGTAACCTGGTTAACTTCGCTGAGAAATAATTGCACATAAATTCAGTTAACGACGCGTAAGGAGACGTTGCATTTGTTCTGACTTCTCTGTAATACTCCACTATAATAACGATGACGAAATTGACCAAAAGTAGTCCCATCCAAATGACGAGCGTAAAAATATATAATGAACCAAGTACTTGGTACTGCATTTTGACATCAGTGAGGTTTACGTTCCCACCTATACACAATTGAAGAACAGTAACAAGGGCCTGATAGAAGGATGAAAATGACATTATTTCGAAGCCAAAAGCAAGAAATCCAGCACAGGAGAAGGCCATTAGCGAGGTGGTGAGTAACGCCGCAAATGATACAAGTGATCTCCAAGATCCTCTTAACGTCTTCGTCATTTGCCAGATTTGAGGATTAAGTTTCAGCAGCTTCAGTAAATGGAGCGTAGAAAGAAAAATTAATATAGCTAGTAAATAATTCTCGACATTACAAAGCTGGACCACATGGTCTGGACTGGAATGGTCAAACGGATTTGTTTTTATCCTCTTTACATAGAGACTTGTTTCATTCGCCCTTAACACGACCAGTACTGCCGCAGAAACCGAAAATAATATTTGAAAAATCCTGATCCAGTTCCAGATACAAACAAGATAAGCTTTTCCTTCACTTACGAATTCTTTGACTTCTGATAATATGATCAAAAGGGACAATATGACGAACAGGAGTTCGTATACAGCGTAAAAGCTACTGGAAGCTCGGTAAAGAGTCCATGTCTGCACGTCACGAGAGGTTACACTTCCACCGGTGGGTAACCTCTCGTAAAAATACCTGGCGAAGCTAAACAGTCTACTGGATGGTTCATGGACAGAGAACTCGATGAAAACCGCGGCAGTGGACTCATCAAGCCAGTTATTGTTTTGGAGATTGTCGATTATCTCCAAAGCCGATATTTCATTGTATCCAAGATAGGCCACGTATCCTCCACCATCATACGTTCTAAAATATCCTTGGTAAGGGAGAGTTTGTAATGTCTGCGGAGACTTGTATCTCCAAGGCTTCGGACAAAGTTGAGAAAGTAAAGAGTTTTCAGAATAGAGTGTGTGATTATCGACAGGAATCCATCCTGGCTGGTAGAAAGCATTTTTGTCTTCGCTGGCTGTGGATTGGTAAGGCGAACAATTTTTTAACACGCGTTCTTTTGCACCAGTCACACGGAAAAACTTGCAATGGATGTTGATTTCTGTAAAAGAGTATTTGGAAAGTAATTGTATGAAGTAAATATATTTGGAGATGATGAAACATACTATATAAAAATAATAAGATGTTTAAGATATAGGTCACACTTCCAAAATATAATTAACAATTATTCCACGAGCGCGCGTTGGATATGAGATGACAGATAGCCAACGAGGTGCGTAGAGCCGAGTTGGCTATAATCATCTCATATTCAACAAACGCGAGTGGAATAATTGTTTTAATAAAAACGCTACATTAAATTATTAAATTTTATTACATTTTTAGCTCCCTTTCAATTTTAAGCTTATGCGTATGCTTACCATATCGTAGTTTATGGTATATTGGCTCATATACCATAATGGATAAGCCAATGAAAAGTCTTGAATTGCATTATCCAATGATCCAGTTTTTAACAATATCAGCTATTCTGTACCGCACAAGTTCAGAAAGGTTTTTGAGTCAATGGTCGTGCAAAGTCGAGAGCGAGTATTTGTGCTCGGTTTAATTTGATTAAACGTTTTATAGTGAGGTAGGTTAACTCTTACCTTCCTTAAAACGGATTTGCCTGAGTCGCGGCATTCCCATAAGGAAAGCTGCTTTGTTGCTAATAAATCCTTCTTCATAAGCAAAGGGGTGTTTGTTATACCAAGAGACATTATAGAGTCCAGGAACCAACTTATTTCTTATCCAAATCCAAAACGAATTCTTGTCTGTCACCTGAGGAGAAGTGTATTGAGAACATTTCTGTAAAATGCATGTTCCACCAAGAACCCCTGGTACAGCTGTACTCGCACAATTCACAGCGGAATCATAAAAAAAAAACAATCTTTTTTCCAAGTCCCAATATCTCAAATCAAAGCTGTTTTCGTTGGTTGTGCCCAGGTTAGACACTAAAATTTCTTGCCCTGATCTCTTTGACCTTGATTTGTCGAGACTCTGGAATTTGCGAACTAATTTTTTCCACCCTTTGAAAATACACGTTCTATTCCTAGAACCTTGAAAGCCCAGGAAAGAACAAATGTATCTTGTTAGAAGCTTTGGTGTGTATTGTCAATGAGTAGTTTTACGAGTTGTGCCGTATTTTGACGAACCTGCAGGGCGGTTCAAAATATAAACAACGATTGAAACTGCTCAGCGAGACCACACATGCACCAAAATGTCGAATAAATTATTTATGAATCGACTACATTTCTTTTGAAACAACTCTACTTGGTGCATTAGGATAATATAAACCAGCTTCAGCCTCTTGTATACTAAGGTGAAATCGAAATGCTCACGAATTTGTAATATAAAGTCGCAAGAAACTGCAACTAAAATGCCGTTACTATACGATCCGGTCGCTCTACTGCATACTGGAGAGGCTCCTCGGAGCATGTTTGAATGTCTTGCCACATCACAAGTATGGATTTTTTTCTTCCTGAAAACAGGAGTGTCTTCTGTCTTCTTAGGTCTTTTTAAAAGTCTTTTGGTAAAACGAGTGTTTTTGGAAGCCTTTTGTGATTTTTCGAACACCCGATCTCTCATAAGCAATTCTATTGGAAGTGTGAAAAATCGAGATGCCATTGTAGCTGATTCTCTGAAATGACGGTCCAGCGACTAAGCGGTCAGTTATAAAATTTACACATGCCTGATTACGACTTTAAAGTCCTTTTTTTTTAGGTTGGTTTGGTTGCATAACGAATCGCTCTTTGGCTACTGAAAACGAGTAATTTCGGTGGTACGTTATTCGTCAATGGTTAAAGCATTATCAGTAAATGACGCAACGCCTCTCCACTACAAGCTGAGACAAGACCTATTCTTTTTTAATCGCCATTGAATCGCTTTTGGGATGTAAACTTATACGAGCTAAGTAAAGAAACTGTTCGAACGTCTTCCCCATAATTACACGATTATATGTGATTCTAATTTGAACCCTTGTTATTAATGTCATGTCTAAAGGTAAAGACTAGCAAAAACTAACGATAAAAACCGACGTTTCGGTGTCATCATGACGCCGTTGTCAAGGAGAAATAAAAAATGAAGTTTGTGGCAAGGTGTAACACTAAATTAGCATAAATATGTTACGAGCTAATTAAACAAATACTTTTGCGCGAATTGAATCGCTTTGCATGTTCAGAGTGGGTTTTAAGTCTCTGATGAAAAGCATTTCGTTCACCAAACAATCGAACTTGTTACTACACTTTTTCAGAATGCTAAAACGTTTCAGTAGGTCTTTCGGGACTTCGCTGTGCCGTTCGTGGTAGTGTTTATATATTGAAGATGCCTTTCGTTTATGTCCATCCACGCGTGTGTGTAAGTGTCCGCGTGTATAGACCACATAACCCCCATCACACAGGTCACATTGAAATTGATAAACGACGCGTTGTTGGTTGACAATCTGCGGCTTGGTTTCTCGTACTTTAAGATCTTGGCCAACTTTGCGGCTAACAAATACTGGCTGGACAGTTGTCTGCACCTTTATGCTAAGATTCTTGAGCTCTTTCTTAACATAATTTGCTCATTCCTGATCTTTGAAAGGTATGACCACACGAACAATGGATATTGGTTCTTTGGGCGTCTGTCTGGGCTGCGTACATAGAATTCTAATTTAGTGTTACACCTTGCCACAAACTTCATTTTTTATTTCTCCTTGACAATGGCGTCATGATGACACCGAAACGTCGGTTTTTATCGTTAGTTTTTGCCAGTCTTTGCATTTCTAAATCTTTATTGATAAATGTCTAAAGGTACCTCATTAAAACCAGTGAGCTTTTCCTCTACCGAAGCAGTCACCAGGTATCGCTTATAATCTCTATTGCTGTAACAAACAACCATGAGGACATGGACAAATACGAGGAACACCAGCAAATCTTTAATCATCCTCCACATTCTAAAGAATTTTCTTCCATCCGCTCTAGCCCTGTTTAGGTCGTGATTGTTTGGAGCGTTATATTCTTGTTTTCGGTTTATATAAGCAGTCATCCCATACACCTCTTCTTTTTCCGGAAGCGATCTCGTTCTGAGCGACACAATCATAGCAAGGAGAATTACTTTCATGGGCTGAGTGAGCACAATATCTCCAAAAAAGGAGGTAAGGATCGATGTCAACCACTGATTTGAAATGTCCTTGCCCCATGACAGGCCATAAAACACTGTAAATGCTGAAGATGATAGGGTTATGAATGCACATAGAAACCATGCAATGTAAACGAAATAATCTGGTAGACGAGAAGACGATCGCTGAGTAGTGCCAAGGTCAGAATAACTTTCAGAATGCGCCCTTACGTTTCTGAAGATCGTAATTAGAAGGACATTTACGGGGATTGCTATGAGTCCACTTTGTATTCCAATCACCACTTGTCTCCAGCTTAGCACCATTGGTCCCACGCGAAACGTATGTGATGGACTTTCAGAAAACTGATAAAACATTGCGTTTGTCACCATGGACAAAAACAGAAACGACACACAACAAGATAGTCGCTGACAACGGGTAAAGGAACTGTGAGGTGGACGAGTAAACAATGACAACCAAAGATGATCATCTCCAAGTCCTCTTGAAGCCTTAGACAAGAACAAATGACGAAATCCAGCGCGCTCTTTTTCCTTACGTGCCTTAAGTTCAATGCAAAGGTTTCCTGACCCTCTTTCAATAGCAATCCACTTGTTTGCAAAGAAATACCATGTTTTTCCTTCGTGGGACTCAGTAATGATGACTTGTTGAAGAAACCAGGATGGACTTGAGCCAAAATTGTCATGCCAAATGAGAAGTTTTTCTAAACTTCCTAAACTACAGGGAAGAAATACCACAAAATTCGTTACACTTCCACGAGAAAATAATTTCCCGTAGAGTGATGAATCTGATAAAATAATCGGGCCGCTGCTACCTTCGTCCCCAAAGATGTCAATTCCTACGGTTGCAGTTGTACCAAATCCTTTCCAAATTCCAGTCTGAATTTGTATCTCGTAATGGTGACCCTCTTGCGGGTTGTCTTCACTCAATAACACATTTGCCACAACCTTAAAGGAACAATGATGGTGATAAGTTTTGGTAATCACTGAGTCTAACTGTAATAAAAGCATGTTTCCAAAGATACTATTATGGGGAGTCTTAAACATGAGAAGTACAGATTATCCGTCTGGTCTGGTGTTAGGGCTATTCTGTAATTTGTTCTCACCGAGTGCAAATAATAACTCTCTGAGGAAAATCTCGATAAAAACAGAAAATACACCAATTGCGGCCGTTCGTCTAACCTAGAAAATATTTGCATCGATTTTTTCATTACCTGTTAACCTACTTTTCCTTTACTACTAATTTCTTAAAAGAAAAAAACCTGCTTTAGAGTACTTGTATTGCATTTTGTTTATTATATACATCTCATTGTAATGGTTTCTGAATAATTATGATCAGTGGACGGACCTGTATTTTTATATTCATCAAAAAACCATCGGAGAGGAGCAAATATTGAGTACTGGTAATCAAATATTCTTAAAACCACACCTTATCTTGGTCTTTCGAGTCGAATCGGCGGGCTAACAGCAGACCTACAACATATAGGCCGTATATAGAGAATACAGCTGCTAACACAAAGTTTCCAGTTTCTTCCACGTTTTTAAACTCCAACCAAACTTTGTCAAAGTCGATAGGATTTGGGGCGACAAAAAATTCTCCACCAAATGTTGATAGATGAGTGCAAAGGCAGTGGAGGCTCGTGTGATTAGTTTTGAGGCCAACCTAAGATACAAAAGAATAAAGGCTGATAGTTTCTAAAGAAACTGTTAGGGGCTGCGTCGGTGGGGGTAACGAATAATTTGGATATATCAAAAAGCGATAACTTCCATCCATCTAGTTGTTTATTACCTTACAACCCTTGCTTGTCCATTTTCGATCTTGTTTGGACCAATACAAACAGCTGCTGATTGACACAGACATTGTATAATTGACGTCATTCAAACTGTACGCTGAGTTGACAGTGTTTAGTATTGGCGGCGGTGTGGTTGGGGGATCCTTAACATCAACGCAAAAACGCTTTTTACGGACACCTGTATCCTTGGAAGGAGATGGCAACTGACGTTTAACCTAAAAATCCCCTTCTGTGTCGGTTTCTTTCGCCTTTCTTCCTTTATTAGAGTAGTTTCTACGGACCAATATTGCAATGTAGTACACTCCTGTCTTGCCTGTCAGGCTGCTTGATATCAGAAGTCTGTATGGTGAACATTGCTGGTCCAAAATAGTTTCGCTAACAGAATTCCCGCAGTTTCCATAATGAGGTATTTGACTATTGAAGCTGTAATTTTCCGGAGTAGGCCTTATTCCAGCGCTGATGAAAACCTCTAATAAATTGTTTCCACTGGGTACGATGTCAATAATAGCAACTGTTTCTTCAGACGGAATACTTATTTCGTGATAACGAATGTTTTCAAATGTCTCGCTCGGTTTGACGAAAAACGTGTTAAATGTTCTCCTCACAGACTGTGTTTTCAGTGGGATAAACAGTTCAAATGGCTCCTTAAGGTCTGAAATATGAATTTCAGTTCCATTCCTTTTTATACTGAGGTCTCTAACCGCTGATGTTATATTCTTGGCCGTGTTATCCCAATAAAACGGATTATATTTAAATATAAGCATCTAAAAAAGAAAAGAGAAGAGATCTTCACTCTATTCTATTCTATACATTTGAAACTTTGAAGTTTCAAATTTATAGAATCAATTTTTATTATTTTCACGTTATATAAATCTCAAAATTTGGAAATGTAAGATAGATCTTTGAAAATAATGTTCACGTTTGCACATAATCTGAAAACTTGATGAACGAGGTCGAGGGTCTCACTGTATGAATATTTTGACATAGCATTTCAACGTTGATGAACTGATCAGCCGTAGAAATGCTGACCGTTACTTACCTGTACATCTACTGAATGGTTAGGGAATTTTAGAGCTGCTTGTGGAGGAAACACCACACCACTTCCACTACTTCTTCCAAGAAGATGTTTCCTTACAATCATAGCTGGAGTCTGTCTGTCGAGGACCATGGATAGAGCATTTGTTTCATACACGCTAGGTTCTGACTCGCCAACAACTTTAGTTGACAGAAGAGCTGTGCCAAGATTATCCACTAGAGCAACTGATTCTTCGATCAAGCGTGGATTCTGAAATACAACATCCATTGTAAAATCGATGAGATGTATGCCAATGTAGGCCTTGTTGTATTTTAAAGGACTTAAATTCAGTCCGAGTACTCAGGCTATCGTTACCTTATCTTTAATTTTAGTTATCTGTAAATTTGTCTTACCTGTTCAATCCTTTCAGCCATTTGGTTATGTTTTGCGTCTGTCACTTTATTTTTCGTCAAAATATCAAAAACATAGGACATTCCATTCAATAGTGCGCCTCCAACCATTTCTATTTCATCAATGTCCTTGCTGTTACTCGCCTCTGTATTTAGGTGACTTGTCATCGATTTGAGTAATGTACCAGCATCGTACTGTAGAGAAATAATGAGGCTCTAGAAGACGATTTCCCTTTAAGCGCATAGTCGATTATTGAGCACTGAATTAGAAAATAAATCTAAGCAGAGGAGAACTAGGCTCAGCTCGAGGGAACATCTATCTAGTAATTTATTCTACGATTCGAATTCATTACTTTCTCATTAACATAATGTTCTCTCTTTTGGGTCACCAAATCTTTTAATTTTTTTATTTAAAGGAACATATTGCTAACATGATTGAGACGACCTTGCGTTAAGTGGACGGTCAGCATGATTAATCCATTAATTGTATGAACCGTAACTGCATATAGATATCTTGGAAACATCTGGTCATTCTAAAACTCATATACGCTAAAACTGATGGTTGATCTGTTAACTGTCTCCTAGCAAACTTAAACTGGCTTGGTTCAGAAATAAATAGCGTAACTATATGCTGGGCACCAGCGTCAAGAATATCCTTACCAAAGAGGTAACTCTCATATTTTCTCTTTGTCGAGTTGCTTTGATAACCACTGCTGAAAGTTGAGTGACCTCTTGGAGTAATTGAGGCTGAACTACAGCCAAGTGTCTTAAAACTTCATCTTTTGCCTTAATAACAATTAAACGAACTGGAGTTTAGGAAAATGATGGTTTTCAGTTTAACAGTTTCTAGATGCAAGTATCCGTAGCCCATAACCCACCTAAACAGTTATCAACTGCTTATCCTACCATTCCTTTGCATAATCGAGGCACGTTATAGAAAATTTAAGAAGGCTTAATGTAGTGAAACGAAATAAAACTGTGAATTAATCATCAAAGTTGAACATGGAATTACATGGAATCATTAATTATTATAATAGAATAAATTATATCACATGGAATTATTGATTATCATACTAGAATCATTTACATCACGTGGAATCATTAATCGTCATTAAAGAATCATTTTTATCACATGGGATAATGAGTCATCATTAATATCACCCAGAATAGACGAATGCTCTCAGCAAATTAATGTAGTTATTGTTACGTTACCGTAATATACAGGAGAGACCATTGATTAAAATGTTCTACTACCGAGTTTTTTTCCACAAGAGAGATTCCTGTCCCATCAGTGGCTGTAAGAGTAAAGTAAGACGTCAATGTCGCCTTTTGCTGGTCTCCAGATTTAAGTAACTCGGCAGTTGTACTGTTTGGTCCGTGAATAGCCTTAGTAACTTCAGTGACGACCTCGGTATCAGTTAGTGGCATCACCTGGCGCAAAAATCACTCACCTTTAGTACAGTAATCTTGCCTGTAATTTAAGGTACACTGCACTACCGACTGCTTTTTGTTAAGAGAAACAACGAAGATATATATTTAATGAGCCCTTCTAAACAAGAGCTATTCATTCTCAGCTTGTATACTTTGGTGGGTTGGCTTTCCTGTTCGTGCTAATGATGAAGTCGTTAGCAGGTGACCAGCTTAAACTTCGCAGACACAACTCTAAAACATTCAAAGGGGACACACAATCGATCGCGCAAAGTGCGCTTTCTAAACTCCATCAATTCCAGGTGAAACATGACAACACTACTTATTGATTGTGTGTCCTTTTTAAAGGAAATTCTTCTGATTCGAACCTAGGCTGTGAAAGCCTCTTCTTCACAATCTACTGGCCTTTCGGAACATATCAAGAAGGCAGGCTCATGTCTTTGTTTTTAGATTTTTTTAACAAGTACGCACTGTTAGGTTACTCACGTTAACATGAATTACAGGGACATGCGTAGGCAGTACGTCAGGTCATGTAATCCTTTAAGTCCTCTGTTACAAGGATCGTTTGTCTAGAAAGTTCGCGAAAGTCGATGTCACGCAATATGTTGTTTCAATAATTTTCTAGAACTGTGACTCATCAGTTTAAAAATAGAGTTTACTGTAATAGTTATAAATAGTTACTTTTGGAAACTTCTAGACTCTATTCGGATGCTTATATAAGCAGCTCGCTAGTCAGGTTGTTGTCGTGATTTGGGACTTCGTTCCCTGTTTGTGATCTACAAGCGATACTGTGTGACAAGTGACAAGTGAAGGAATTTTCCCGTTCGGATGTGATACTGACATTCTGCTGTCAAGTCCAGAGTTGTTTTCTGTGGAGTGCGATACTGCGAAGGAAGTCTTCAGGAGATTTCGCCAAAGAGAAGGACAGTACTTTGCTTGTGGTCAGATAAGCGTAGAAAAGTACATAGTTAATTTTAATTGGATTGTTCCAAGAGTAGTCGCTAGCTCGTGTTAAGTTATCTCCTGTTGTTTACAGTTAAATAAATTGTGTTTCGTGGAGATAGCGAGGTTATTATCTTTCTGCCGGTAATCAGTTACCGTAACACCTCAAAAAAGGAGAGGGTGCCATTAAGTTATCTGCATGGAACTGAAAAAATATGTAAATATCTTACCTGGACTGTGAGTTCAGCAGTAGCTACGTCGCCAAAGGAATCAAATATCTGCTCCTCCAGTTTAACCTCGAAATTTTCCGATTGGCTTCCTCGAGGTAGCTTAGTTTTAAAATTTGAAATATTCCCTTTAGCAATTATGACAGTACCCTCTAATGAGTGAAATCTACAAAGTAACAGAATTGATTTATTGATATTGTTTCATTTTCAAAGCTACTAAGACATTATTTTAAAAACAAACAAAGATCTTTGAATTACTTGATTTCCTCATGTAAGTATATTACTCTAACCAGGGAATGCCTTTACGACGATTTTGTTTTCTTCGGGAGGATTAGGAGAAATAGTCAAGTTTGAAGCAATGAGATATAGGGAGTTTATAAGTAAGTTCCTTACATCAGCTGGTAGGTTAATGGAAGATCTTCGTCAAGCCATCCAGTACAGGTGATACTGAAATCTGTTTTAAGAACAATTCCCATCCTAGGGTAGGCCTGACAACCTAAGTCACCATAAGGGTTATGTGGCGGAGTATTTGTGATGAAAACCATTTCACCTCTCTCTATCATTCGGTGACGCAAACGAACAGAAGCCACGATTTTGTAATGCGTGCTTTGTTTCAGCGGGTTCTTTGAGCCAGAAAAGAGGATATTACTGCTGTCTAAATTAGTTAGGACATATCGTCGAAATTTACGGACTTTGAGCCAAGATGCACCCCTTTCCGTTGACGAGATTTGATACAATGTCCAGCGGTAACTCATTTCCTGGCCGCAGAACGGGCCAATGCATGTTGCCTCCACGATCAGTCGTCTGTTTGTGCTGACCTTCCGACCGCAGTTAATTACACAACTGTTGCAAAGCAAGTAATAAATTTTAAATCAATTGTAAAATAAACAGCGATACCGTAAATTATGAAGTACAGATCCCCAACTAAACAAAAAACAGATATTAATGTGAAGATCTTACGGAAGGCGATTACACCTACCTTAAAGAAATTACATACGGTGGTGTAACAGTTAGATTGTGGAATGCCCGTGTTACTCTCCGATCCTTCATGATAACTAATTCAAACATGTAAGTGTAATTAGCGTCCATGTAATCGACATCCACAATTAAAATGGAGCGAGTGCTGTGGAATCTTTTCGAGTATCGACCAAAGCAACTCCTCAGCTTCTCGTCCATTTTTCGACAAAACCAGCTGAAGATTAAGCCGCTATTGTTGTTTATTATACTGAGAGGATCATGAGAGCTGGACGCATCTAACACGACAGTTCCATTTCCTTTTATGGCCGTAGTAGGACCATTGATAAGTGCCACCAGAGGCGGATCAAGCAAACGAACATATCCATAGTCATAAGTTTCCAAAACAAGTTCACCTCCCGAATTACGAATGAATGCAGCACATCTGATGTAAAGGAAACCCTCACCAAACTCGCTGCCACTCAGGTTCAGAATCCCTGATTTACTTTCAAATGCATTGCCTCGCGAGATAAACATTCCAAACTCACTCACGTGATCACTAGCTTTAGCAATCTCCCACTGGAAAGATAACGACTGGTGACAATTTCCGCGTCTTGTTGTAGCGTGAATGGTAATATTTTGAGTTGTGTACAACACCTTTGCATTAGCAAGCGTTTTATTCAATGAAATTATAACTTCAGGATAGGAACAATTGCATCGCACTGTAAAAAGAAAAGTACAAAAATAGGCATGAAGCAAATAAAGCAATGGGCAAACAAGAAATTGATAATTCGTCAGATATCACTCCACTTTTCACAGCGAGATCCTATATAATATTAAATGATCTTTATATGATAGAATATTCACTCACATGGAAATCGAAACACTGCTTTGCCATGCCTAATGTCCATATTCAGTTTGGCCTCCAAGTTTTCTTCGCTTGATTTTAAACAAAATATTTTTGCTCCAGCCGTGAGTACTGTTTCTCCTAGCCAAGATCTATGTGGACTAAAATAAAATATATGAAAAAAGGTAGAAATGAAAATTGTCATAACAAAATATACAAAAACTGGAAACTTACTCTTTAAATAATTTGGATATATCAACAGAGTTAAAATGGTAAATTGGCCACCGTAACGATTGCAAAAGCTGACGTTTCGAGCGTTAGCCCTTCGTCGGAGCGACGAGGGCTAACGCTCGAAGGGCGAACGCTCGAAACGTCAGCTTTTGTAATCGTTACGTTGGCAAATTTACCATTTCAACTTTGTTGATATATCCAAATTATTTCGTTACCCCCACCGACGCAGCCCCAAACAGTTTCTTTCGAAACTCTCAGCCTATACTCTTTAAATACTTCGTTGATGCAGGTAAGATCTGTAATTCTAATGATTATGACTGGTATTCGCTTTACGTCCTCCAGGCGGCTTAATGTTCAGCTATGTTTGGTCATCTTCGAAACACCTCTAGATGGAAAAATGTTTCAAATTGTGCCATATTTTCTGGCTACTAGACGAGGCTTTGTGGTTGAAGTTTTAACAGCAGTGACAACTCAAGGTTATGATTAAAAGTTATTCGATGGGTAACAAAGAGTAAGGAGCTAAAAGGGTTTATAACCACCACAAGGTTTTATCTGTCATTTCATTTGTGTTCTTATATAAGTGCTCAAGCCATAATTACAGATATCACATCAATAAATCCACAACGCGCCATAACACAGTGAATTTATTTTATCTTAACCAAGGGGTATTAAGAATTCAGCCTTTTGGAGGGTTAGGAGTGGATGAGCTCTAAAAATATCTTTCTCTTTTCTGTGAAGGGGTATGACTGCGTTTTCATTTGAGGGTGAATGTTTACTTTATTAGAAACCAAACCAGTTTGAGCAGAAACTCACGTGAAAGCCACAAAATCAACTGACAAAAATCCTGGAATCACTTGGAGATGTTCTTCAATCTGGAAGAAATGTTTTTAACTCATAAGTATATCAGAGGTGCCTGATAGTGTCTCAATTGAGTGACATCAAAATAAAGTATTCGGGAGTTGTAAATTTCCAAGATGGTTGAAAACAGCCGGAAAGACTGTTTTTGTTCATTATGTGTATTGAAACTTCCCAAAAAATGACCCCGTATATAAATATTTCCTCTTTTCGTCCCTTTCTTGACAAAGACGGTTTCTGTCTATTGATAGTAAATCGAGGGCAAGTAGGAAATGCACTCTTCCTTCTGTTTTGTATGTGTGTGTATGTTTTTTAGATCGCCCAGTAATAAGATATATGTGTTCAATTAAATATAAGAATGTAGCTAGCTCATCGGAAAGAATGCGAATAAGAAACATAGATAAACGGGCATGTAAGGGTACGCTGATACTGAAGGACAAGCTGACCTCTTTTAAGGTTTCTTCCTTTGCGATAATGTATTCATCGCTAGTTGTTACCGCGTGATTTGGAGTAAAATACCGCCTGTCAAACATACGCCAGACAAGGAAATAATATCCTAAAACGAGAGAGCACATTGAGCATTAATATATCCTCCAATTTTAATGTCGACATCAATAATGCTTTTAGCCGTTAGTGCCTATAAGAATGTCGACATCAATAATGCTTTAAGCTGTTACTGCCTAGTAGAAAGCTTCGATCTTGTCTCAGAGTAAAGATGTGTTTTTATTTAAACCTTATTAATGTGTCATTACCTGATTCACAGCCATATAATTCCAGGCGCAAACCAATGTTACTGCTCCACGTTTGCGGTAGGATCATTATCTCTGACGTCATAGTAGGGAAAGGAATGTCGTGACGTTTAACAGAAGAACTGTCTCTGTTTCCAGTAAAATTCTTTGGAAGTGAAAAATAACACGATCTAAATCTGCCATCAACTGAAGAAATTATTTGGTTACTACTTGCTTTGATTGTAAATCGCTTGTACAACGGAAGACAGTATAAGTGGCCGAGGACCAGCTTAATTTTTCACTTAGATTTTATCTCAACTCTTTAACTAACTAAGACGAATATTCATCCTGGTGTAAAACTAATGACTGCAACCGAGAAAGAGCTTTATATTTGCGACAAACCTTTAATTTAATGTACTCCACTTTCACTGCATTCATTTGCAGTGGGAAGGAACTAGAAAGGGACATACGAACCATACGTGCTAGTCCACCCTCCCACCCATCCCACCCTAGGGGAGGA